ACTGATGGGCATTCCAGTTGAGTTTAATTTTAGTATAAATATAAATAAGACATGAAGGAAACATTAGTTTGAACCATATGAAATAGCCAATGTTTGGCTATTTTCTAACCTATAAATAGAGCAATTTCATGTGGTTCAACCTAATAAATAATCAGAAGTTAAGCAGAGGTCTTCAATTCTGACTGGTTATTAGAATCACTTGGGAATCTTTGAAAAACAATTACAGTTCTCACCAGAATGGCCAAAAGAGAAAGACAGAAAATACCCACTCTTGGCAAGATTGTGAAGCAGTCAGGATTCATATATTGCTGGTGGTGTCCAAATTAATACAACTACTTTGGAAAACTATTTGACATATTAAGCTAAATATATGCTCATCCTGTGACCCAGCAATTCTATTCGTAGGTGTATACCAGATTAGCATATACATATACATACTTCAAAAGACATATACAAGAATGTTTGTGGCTGTTTTTTTGTTTGTTTGTTTGTTTTAATAGCCCCAAATGGGAAAAAGCCCAAATTTTCACTCACAACAGATTGGTAAAAAAAAATGTAGTATAACCAAACAATCATATATAGCAGGCGTCAACAAACTACAGCCAGTAGGCCAGATATGGCCACCACCCATTTTTGTGTGATTTATGAGCCTAGTATGATTTTTACATTTTTAAATTGTCAGGAATAAATGAAGTATAATATTTTGCAACACATGGAAATTACATAGAAGTACGTGCGTAATATTCTCAATTTTGCCCTTTGGCCTGCAAAGTCTAAAATATTTTGGACCTGACCCTTTGCAGAAAAAAAGTTTGCCAAATGAGAATGAGTGAATAGCAACTTTTTACAACAACTTGGACAAACCACATGCATTAGTTATGTATTGATAGTGAGAGATTACTCCAAATTTGGTGGCTTGAAACAATACTCATTTATTATCTTAGTTTCTGTGGGTCACTAATTTGGGCAAAGCTTATTTGGAACTTCTGCTTCCCTATCTTTCACAGATAGCAGTGAAGGAGTTGGCTGGGCAGAAGGCATCAGAAGGCCCAACTGGGGAAAGAAAGATCAGCTTCCAAGCACACGTTGGCAGAATTCAGTTCCTTCCAGACTATTGGACTAAGGGCATCAGTTGCTTGCTCACTGTTGGTACTTTGTCACAGTGACCTCTCCATCATGGCATCCTGCCTCATCAAAGCGTTCAAGCCAGGAAGGTAGTCAGGAGAGTCTGCTAGCAAGAAAAAAGTTACAACCTTTGTAGCCTAATCATGGAAGCGCTATCCCCTCAATGTTGCTATATTCTATTTGTTAGAAGTAAGTTGCTCAAGGGGAGGGGATTAGATGAGGCCCATGAGTACCAGAAGGTGGGAATCACTGTGGACCGTCTTAGAGACCACCTACCACAATACACAACAGAGTGTTGAACAGAAAAGGCCAGAAAGAAAGAAGTACATATTATAGTGATTCTATTTACATAAAGTTGAAAAAAAACAAGCAAAACTAATTTATGGCATTAGAAGTCAGGATAGTGGTTCCCCTCAGTATGATAAGGGTTGGTAAAGGGGGGAACAGTTAGTGACTAGAAGGAAACCCCATAGGGCATCTGGAGTGCTGGGGATATTTTCATTCTTGATCTTTGTGCTGTTTATATGTGTGTATATTGTGTCAACAGGTATTGAGCTGTATATGTGTGATTTATGCAAGTTTATATGTGTGGTATACTCCAATGAAAAGTTTTAAAAAGGAATATATACTTAGATTCAAATAAATATAACAAATGACCCATTTATTTGCCAGTTATTTTCTGTGCCTTCTCTTTATCTGTTTTTGCCCAAAGTGGCAGTTTCATTTCATTTTATTCAATTTCATTGAACAAATACTAGTATGTTTTCAGGACCCACTACGTGCCAGGCACTTGTCTAGGTTCTTGGGATATTTGGTAGGCTGAATTCTAGAAATGGACCTCAAGATTTCATGTCATAATCCTCCCATGGTTTTATGTCATAAGGCACAGTTGACCTGAAAAGGAAAAATTATCAGAGTGGGCCAAATTTGATTACACAAGCCCTTAAAATTAAAGAACTTTCTACAGTTGGTAGCAACAGAGGAAGGTGAAAGAGGAACTCAAAAAGATTTTAGGCATGAGGAAGAATCAACACAATTTACTCCTTTGAAGGTGGAGGGGGCCACCCATATAGGAACAAAGGAAATGCCAGCAAGGAAAGAGGAACCTCAGTCCTACAGCTGTAAGGGACTGGATTCTGCTAACAACCTGGATGAGCCTGGAAGTGGATTCTTCCCCAGAGACCTCAGATAAGCATCTAACCCAGCTGACAACTTGATTATAGGTCTTTTAAAGCCTCAGCAGAGAACCCAGGTGAACCCACCCAGCCAGATGAGCTACAGAACTGTGGGCTAATAAATAAGTATTATTTTCAGATGCTAACTCTTTGATACTTTGTTATGCAGAAATAGAAACAAATACAGGATGCATCCTGTACAAAGCAGACTGTTATCCTGGCCCTATTCTTAGGGGTAGAAACAGACAGTGAAATAAGTAGTGATAATATTAATAATACCAATACTGACAAAGTAAATTGGAGTCTCATAAAAAGAAACCACATTCTTCAGCATTTTTTTCCAAGGCCTTCAAGTGATTGCAATCTGTAGCTTCTATTACTCAACCCTGTTAAGGAGATAATGAAATGCCTGAGTAAGAAGTAAAGATGTGTCGACATTTCCTCTTTTATATGTTCTGTTAAGTTATGACTGAGTCGTGTCATGTCTTTTTGCAACATGCCTCTTGAATGAGGGCTTCCTCTCCATTCCCTCTGCTACTACCCTGGAGGAGTCAGACAGGCCTGGTTCAAAGCCTAGCCCAGATGAATACAAGTTGTTTCTCCTTGGGCATGGTTTTTGAAATCACTGATTGTGTTTCCACATTTGTAAATTGACAGTGACGATTCTGATAGAGTAGTTAGGGATTAACTTAGTGTCATTTATGTATGGCACTTAGGTACTCGGCACATAGTTAATACCACGTACATGTTATTTATTCTTATTAAAGGAAATAAAGTATACAAAGTATCTCGTCCTATTAAATGCTCAAAAATGTCACTTTTACATCCCTTTCCAAGTCTAATATTCATCAGTTCAC